CTTGTTGGTGACAGTCTTCTCAAGTTTTTGGAAGGGTTTGTCTTTGTATCAGGCATGAATGCACTGAATGTCAAGCTTGCGAAGGCTCACTGGCATGAATGCTCTATTGAAGCAATGTCCTATTCCTACTTGACACCCTGAAACCTTGCTACCTACAGACCTTGTCAATCATAAAAGCATCTGCTAAGAGCACTATTTTGCAAAAAGCAAGCACGTGCTTTGTAAGTCGCCCTGTTGGCGACGCAAGCACTGCTTTGTAAGTCGCCCTGTTGTTGGCAAACCAAAGAACTGTTTTGCAAGTCATCATGCGTGCTCGATCTCGCCCACTCATGGGTAAGTGGGGGCGTCCCTGCTCTTCTCAGTCTCCTTGCCGAGGTTCTCGGACCGAGGAAAGTAGGGCTCAGTCGGCTCAGTCTCCTCGAGGTTCTCCGACCGAGGGAGGAAGGGCGCTCCACTCTTCTCAGTCTCAATTGGGAGGCCGCGGGGGACGATGATGCCGCCCTTCTCAGTCTCCTCGAGGTTCTCCGACCGAGGGAGCCGCCCTTCTCAGTCTCCTCGAGGTTCCCCGACCGAGGGAGGAAGGGCGCTCCACTCTTCCCAGTCTCAATTGGGAGGCCGCAGGGGATGATGATGCCGCCCTTCTCAGTCTCCTCGAGGTTCTCCGACCGAGGGAGGAAGGGCGCTCCACTCTTCTCAGTCTCAATTGGGAGGCCGCGAAGGATAATCTCGAGGTTCTCCGACCGAGGGAGGAAGGGCGCTCCACTCTTCTCAGTCTCAATTGGGAGGCCGCGGGGGGTGATGATGCCGCCCTTCTCAGTCTCCTCGAGGTTCTCCGACCGAGGGAGGAAGGGCGCTCCACTCTTCTCAGTCTCAATTGGGAGGCCGCGGGGGATGATGATGCCGCCCTTCTCAGTCTCCTCGAGGTTCTCCGACCGAGGGAGGAAGGGCACTCCACTCTTCTCAGTCTCAATCGGGAGGCCGCGGCCGATGATGATGCCGCCCTTCTCAGTCTTCTTGCCGGAGTTCTCCTCTGCCATGACGTTGTTGCAGCTCACGCACAATGCAAGGATGAGGCAAGCGAATACACCAGATTTGAGCGCCATGGCAATGCCGACACCCCTGAGCCTGAGCTAAAAAGCGTCCCTGAGTGGCTTGAGGAAAAACTCGCAAAAACGCTACAGAAGAACATAAAGATGCTGAAGAATGACACAAAATTCCAAGCGCAAACTGAAAGAGCTAATTTCTGTAGCTTCCAATTGAGACTGTCAAAGGTGCTCAAATTGAAACAAATTCCAAGGTCAAGCTCTCCAAGAACATGTGGCTTCAAACCTCCAACTGGCATATTCCCAACAGCTGAGTGCCCCGACAACAGGATGAAGAGGATTGATGACAAAGCCAAGGCGAGGAAGGGCAAAGGAACATGGAGCAATCCCAGCCAATGACCCAGTCAAACACAAATTCGTGGGGAGAAACAAATGAAGGGCAAAACACAAAACCCCGAAACCAAAACAGCACATCAAATCAATCATCTCATGGTTGCATCAAGTAGGCATGAGTAAGAAAAAAATGAACTTACAAGGCTTTCTAAAAACACTAAATCTTTAAAAGTTCATGCCTCATCAACAATCTTGGGTAATCAGTTAATTTGTAATATTTTTGGTTCAACTTTTCTGCAATCTCTTGCACAACATAATAACCTTTTAGCCAGTGGGAAGTTCTTTCTTTCTCTGTAATTGCTTTCTTTCTCATTATCTTTACTTTGTCTCCCACCTCTAATGTTGGGTATATTCTTTCTTTCTTTGCCTTTGATGCTACATTCAGCATTGCTCTGAATTCATTTTTATCTTTCCTTGCTTGATTAGGTGTCATACCTGTAGCGGAGTGTTTCATCTTATCATTGTATGTCAGCATAATTTCTAAATTGTAGTCTGTCCATTTGATATGTTCTCTTCCTTTCTTTTCATCTGCTTCAACTCTTTTAAAAAGCATATCTTTGTAGGTGCGTATAAATCTTTCAGCAAAAGCAGGATGACCCCTTGTCCTATACAACTCAATATTCTCACCTTCAATATAGTCTTTAAAATCACCTCCTGCTATTGCTTTTTCATCATCACTGTATATGATTTTTGGTTTCTTTCCCATTCTTTTTAATGCCTCTTTAGTTGCCTCAATAACATCAGGTTCATTCTTGCTTACAATTGGAATTACTACGGCATACTTGCTTAAAACATCAATACAAACCAATCCTCCTCTATATTTTTGTTCTTCATCAAAATCATAATACCCCATAAAAAAACAAATCAATTTGATAAGTATGATTGTTATGAGGTGCTACAAAGGAATTATGCCCTCTTGGCTTTGCTTTTATCTCAACATTTTTCCTAAAGAATTGTTCAACATCCTCTTTCTTGATTGTAGGTTCTTTCTTTTTAGCATCTTCTAATGTGGTCTTTCTTGAACCATAGCCCGCTTTATCAAAATAAATATCACGAATAATTTGTTGTTTCTTACTTTCACTCATTATAGAATAGATGATATAATAAATATTAAAATTATATCATTTATTCTTCATTTTGTTCATTGAACCAGTCTTGGTGTTTCTTTGTTCTAAAATGCTGTGCTTTGTATCCGTATGAAATGATACAACCACAATCACAGGTAATCTTTTTAGATTTTCTCTCATAGATTTTGTCAGCATTATTCTTTTGATATTCTTTTTGTTGTTCTTGGTAGTATGTTTTTTTGCTATGATAATTACTGCGTTTGATTTCACACAAATGTTCTCGCTTGTTGTCATTGTATTCTTTGATGCGCCCATTTTTATTGTTTTGGTAATAGTTTTTGTTTTTTCTTTATAGGGTTCAGGATTGTCATTGTATCTCTCTTTTGCTGACCTTCCTGATATGTTTTTGTTGATACAGTCATTGTTCTTAATGTAATAACCTTCTCTTTTGTGAAGTTCGGCAATGCTTGAACATACATAGTTCTCTACTAATTCAATCTTACAGTTTTCAATTCCAAATTTATCAAACATATCAAATAAAGATGTGTATTTTCTCTTGTTTCCATTGAGATACTGTTGGTAAGTTGTTTTATGTCCTTTAAATCTGTTTGGTAATGTATCTATTGTTGAACCGAAGTAGCATTGCTCATAAGCAATATCAACAACTTGGTAAATTGTGCCATTTTGGTAGTTTTTGGTTTTTACCATACTAAACACTATTATACATAAATAAACAGTCTTTAACACCATTTTCACAATGATATTTTATTTGAAAAAGCACAATTACAAGAAACGCAATATCCAACTACATTATCTTTGAAGTGGCTTTGTTCATTATTGACCCTTTGACAGCTAATATTTGATGAAACCTTGCCATCTTCAAAATCTATCACCAATGGTTCATTACAATTATTCATCAGGTTCATCAAAAAATCTACATCAACATACTCATTTCCTTCTACATCTCTACCTGCTTTTTTGTCTTGCTCAATGTAATTTAAAACCTTTCTCTCAAAATACTGCTCTACTATCCTTTTAGATTTACTTTCTTCACCTTTATTATATTTGAAAAACTTAATTTTGTTGAAGTCTGTAGCCCTTGTGAGGGCTGTAAAAAACCAATTCTTACTAACATACCATTCATTCCAATCATATATGACTATATCACCATCAACGCTACAACCTTGCTTTGAATGTGCGGTGTAGCAGTAAGCATATATCCGCCGACCCCTGCCTTAGCCAAGGCAGGGGCGGCGCCTGGGACCACCGCAGGTGTGGAACTTTTTTTCGTTCCCAATGCTTTGCACTTTCCACGAGCCACCCAGGCCATAGCACCCTCTGTTCACCGCCCAGGGGCCACTCAGGCCACAGCAATTTCTGTGCACTTCCCACGAGCCACTCATGCCACAGCAATCTCTGTTTCTACGGCGTTCCAAAACGCAACAGGCCGCGGCAGACCCTGTGCAGTTCCAACAAGTCCCTGAGGCCGTGGCAGTAAAGAGGTTCAAGGCTGCCGTTTGCCAGCCTTCAAAACTCCCCAAACCCTTCCCTGCAGCTCCCAGGCGCCACTCAGGCCGCGGCAGACCTTTCCTGCAGCTCCAACAAGTCCCTGAGGCCGTGGCAGCGTCTTTTTATGGACGTTCAAGGCTGCCGTTTGCCAGCCCTCAAAACTCCCCAAACCCTTCCCTGCAGCTCCCAGGCGCCACTCAGGCCGCGGCAGACCTTTCCTGCAGCTCCAACAAGTCCCTGAGGCCGTGGCAGTGTCCTTTTAAGGACGTTCAAGGCTGCCGTTTGCCAGCCCTCAAAACTCCCCAAACCCTCCCCTGCAGCTCCCAGGCGCCACTCAGGCCGCGGCAGACCTTTCCTGCAGCTCCAACAAGTCCCTGAGGCCGTGGCAGTGTCCTTTTAAGGAGGTTCAAGGCTGCCGTTTGCCAGCCCTCAAAACTCCCCAAACCCTTCCCTGCAGCTCCCAGGCGCCACTCAGGCCGCGGCAGACCTTTCCTGCAGCTCCAACAAGTCCCTGAGGCCGTGGCAGTGTCCTTTTAAGGAGGTTCAAGGCTGCCGTTTGCCAGCCCTCAAAACTCCCCAAACCCTTCCCTGCAGCTCCCAGGCGCCACTCAGGCCGCGGCAGACCTTTCCTGCAGCTCCAACAAGTCCCTGAGGCCGTGGCAGCGTCTTTTTATGGACGTTCAAGGCTGCCGTTTGCCAGCCCTCAAAACTCCCCAAACCCTTCCCTGCAGCTCGCAGGCGCCACTCAGGCCGCGGCAGACCTTTCCTGCAGCTCTAACAAGTCCCTGAGGCCGTGGCAGCGTCTTTTTATGGACGTTCAAGGCTGCCGTTTGCCAGCCCTCAAAACTCCCCAAACCCTTCCCTGCAGCTCCCAGGCGCCACTCAGGCCGCGGCAGACCTTTCCTGCAGCTCTAACAAGTGCCTGAGGCCGTGGCAGCGTCTTTTTATGGACGTTCAAGGCTGCCTCTTGCCAGCCTTCGAAACTCGCCTAACTCGCGAAACCCTCCCCTGCAGCTCCCAGGCGCCACTCAGGCCGCGGCAGACCTTTCCTGCAGCTCTAACAAGTCCCTGAGGCCGTGGCAGCGTCTTTTTATGGACGTTCAAGGCTGCCGTTTGCCAGCCTTCAAAACTCCCCAAACCCTTCCCTGCAGCTCGCAGGCGCCACTCAGGCCGCGGCAGACCTTTCCTGCAGCTCCAACAAGTCCCTGAGGCCGTGGCAGTGTCCTTTTAAGGAAGTTCAAGGCTGCCGTTTGCCAGCCTTCAAAACTCCCCAAACCCTCCCCTGCAGCTCCCAGGCGCCACTCAGGCCGCGGCAGACCTTTCCTGCAGCTCCAACAAGTCCCTGAGGCCGTGGCAGTGTCCTTTTAAGGAGGTTCAAGGTTGCCGTTTGCCAGCCTTCAAAACTCGCCTAACTCGCGAAACCCTCCCCTGCAGCTCCCAGGCGCCACTCAGGCCGCGGCAGACCTTTCCTGCAGCTCTAACAAGTCCCTGAGGCCGTGGCAGCGTCTTTTTATGGACGTTCAAGGCTGCCGTTTGCCAGCCCTCAAAACTCGCCAAACCCTCCCCTGCAGCTCCCAGGCGCCACTCGGGCCGCGGCAGACCTTTCCTGCAGCTCCAACAAGTCCCTGAGGCCGTGGCAGTGTCCTTTTAAGGAAGTTCAAGGCTGCCGTTTGCCAGCCCGCAAAACTCCCCAAAACCCTCCCCTGCAGCTCCCAGGCGCCACTCAGGCCGCGGCAGACCTTTCCTGCAGCTCTAACAAGTCCCTGAGGCCGTGGCAGCGTCTTTTTATGGACGTTCAAGGCTGCCGTTTGCCAGCCCTCAAAACTCCCCAAACCCTCCCTGCAGCTCCCAGGCGCCACTCAGGCCGCGGCAGACCTTTCCTGCAGCTCCAACAAGTCCCTGAGGCCGTGGCAGTGTCCTTTTTTTATTGACGCTTCAAGCGTCGCGTTTTGCCAGCCCTTCTAAAAAACTCTTCCCAACCCTTCCCCTTACATCTCCCAGTTTCTCCCTCCGATCGCTTCAGCCCTTTCCTGCAGCTCCAACAAGTTCACCTGAGAGGCCGTGGCAGTGTCCTTTTAAGGAGGTCAAGGCTGCCGTTTGCCAGCCCCTCAAAACCTCCCCAACACCTTTCCTCCCTGCAGCTCCCAGGCGCCACTCAGGCCGCGGCAGACCTTTCCTGCAGCTCCAACAAGTTCCTGAGGCCGCGGCAGCGTCTTTTTATGGACGTTCAAGGCTGCCGTTTGCCAGCCCTCAAAACTCCCCAAACCCTTCCCTGCAGCTCCCAGGCGCCACTCAGGCCGCGGCAGACCTTTCCTGCAGCTCCAACAAGTCCCTGAGGCCGTGGCAGTGTCCTTTTAAGGAGGTTCAAGGCTGCCGTTTGCCAGCCTCAAAACTCCCCAAACCCTTCCCTGCAGCTCCCAGGCGCCACTCAGGCCGCGGCAGACCTTTCCTGCAGCTCCAACAAGTCCCTGAGGCCGTGGCAAGTTCCCTTTTAAGGAGGTTCAAGGCTGCCGTTTGCCAGCCTTCAAACTCTCCAAACCCCTCCCCTGCAGCTCCCAGTCGCCACTCAGGCCGCTGCAGACCTTTCCTGTCATCTCCAACAAGTCCCCTGAGAGGCCGTGGCAGCGTACTTTTTAATGACTCAAGCTGCCTTTTTGCAGCCCTCAAAACTCCCAAACCCTTCCCTGCAGCTCCAGGCGCACTTCAGGTAGGCCTCGGCGACCTTTCCTGCCGCTCTAAAAGTCCTGAGGCCGTGGCAATCGTCTTTTTCTGGCCGTTCCCCGCCAAGGCTGCCGTTTGCCAGCCCTCAAAACTCCACAAACCCTCCCCTGCAGCTCCCAGGCGCCACTTAGGCCGCGGCAGACCTTTCCTGCAGCTCCAACAAGTCCCTGAGGCCGTGGCAGCGCCTTTTTATGGACGTTCAAGGCTGCCGTTTGCCAGCCCGCAAAACTCCCCAAACCCTTCCCTGCAGCTCCCAGGCGCCACTCAGGCCGCGGCAGACCTTTCCTGCAGCTCTAACAAGTCCCTGAGGCCGTGGCAGCGTCTTTTTATGGACGTTCAAGGCTGCCGTTTGCCAGCCCTCAAAACTCCCCAAACCCTCCCCTGCAGCTCCCAGGCGCTACTCAGGCCGCGGCAGACCTTTCCTGCAGCTCCAACAAGTCCCTGAGGCCGTGGCAGTCTTTTTAAGGAGGTTCAAGGCTGCCGTTTGCCAGCCCTCAAAACTCCCCAAACCCTCCCCTGCAGCTCCCAGGCGCCACTCAGGCCGCGGCAGACCTTTCCTGCAGCTCCAACAAGTCCCTGAGGCCGTGGCAGTGTCCTTTTAAGGAGGTTCAAGGTTGCCGTTTGCCAGCCTTCAAAACTCGCCTAACTCGCGAAACCCTCCCCTGCAGCTCCCAGGCGCCACTCAGGCCGCGGCAGACCTTTCCTGCAGCTCCAACAAGTTCCTGAGGCCGTGGCAGTGTCCTTTTACGGAGGTTCCAGGCTGCCGTTTGCCAGCCCTCAAAACTCCCCAAACCCTCCCCTGCAGCTCCCAGGCGCCACTCAGGCCGCGGCAGACCTTTCCTGCAGCTCCAACAAGTTCCTGAGGCCGTGGCAGTGTCCTTTTAAGGAGGTTCAAGGCTGCCGTTTGCCAGCCTTCAAAACTCTCAAACCCTCCCCCTGCAGCTCCCAGGCGCCACTCAGGCCGCGGCAGACCTTTCCTGCAGCTCCAACAAGTTCCTGAGGCCGTGGCAGCGTCTTTTTATGGACGTTGAAGGCTGCCGTTTGCCAGCCCTCAAAACTCCCCAAACCCTTCCCTGCAGCTCCCAGGCGCCACTCAGGCCGCGGCAGACCTTTCCTGCAGTTCTAACAAGTCCCTGAGGCCGTGGCAGCGTCTTTTTATGGACGTTCAAGGCTGCCGTTTGCCAGCCCTCAAAACTCCCCAAACCCTTCCCTGCAGCTCCCAGGCGCCACTCAGGCCGCGGCAGACCTTTCCTGCAGCTCCAACAAGTCCCTGAGGCCGTGGCAGTGTCCTTTTAAGGCGGTTCAAGGCTGCTGTTTGCCAGCCTTCAAAACTCTCAAACCCTCCCCTGCAGCTCCCACGCGCCACTCAGGCCGCGGCAGACCTTTCCTGCAGCTCCAACAAGTCCCTGAGGCCGTGGCAGCGTCTTTTTATGGACGTTCAAGGCTGCCGTTTGCCAGCCCTCAAAACTCCCCAAACCCTTCCCTGCAGCTCCCAGGCGCCACTCAGGCCGCGGCAGACCTTTCCTGTAGCTATCACAATTCTAAGCGCAATGATCTCTCTCTCTCTCTCTCTCTACCGGACCACCCCCAATAGGGGGGTCGGCGGCACCAGGGCGCTAGCCCATTCTATAATGTTGTTTTACCAATTCTGTTTGGTTCTCAGCAAGAAAAATCGGCCTACCTAATTGCGCTCCCAAAATTGGACTCCATCTAGGGTTTCAGAATGGTTTCAAACACCCGTTTGGGGGACTTGTCAATTACAAAGCACCAGTTGGTTTCAATTTGAGGCTTTAGTGGGAAAATTGGTTTCTTGTAGATTTCCTATTCTCAACCATTTGAGCTTCCCTACGTAACTCACATGATCAACAGCCATATTTTCAGAGTCTCAAAAACTGACCGTATTTCTTATTCGAATTTTCTCTTTAAGAAACTTGTCAGGCTCTCCCCAAATTAAGCGGGTTTCTTAACATAGGTCCCATCCGATCGAATCTCGGCCAGGTCACTCCATTCGCAGCCAATGAGCTTGTAGGGAAGTCCTGCGCAAATAGAAGGCTTTCCTGTGGGAAACCCCCAATTCCGGGAAGATCAAAATCGGGACGCCCACAAGCTACCGGATGCCAAAGCCGAGAATACATTGTATAAGCACCCGTCTTTGTGCTTCTAATCTTGGTAATCCAACAATGCCCTTTCGCCTCCTTCCAAAAGTGACCCCCTTTCTGGCACCTCCTCATGTTGTCCACCCATCTTGTCTCCACAACAAGTTGCTTTTCTAGCAGTGGCCACATCCCCAGGCTGACTTTTGCTGGTCACACACCCCCTGCTGCTTCAAAGCAAGAAAACTATGAACCAGTCAACCAGTCCACGGAATTCAATGGATATGACTGAAGGAGATGGTGTGAATGACACAATTAGCCTCTGGTTATTTGTGACATAGCCATGGAAGCCATGGCCCATAGAAATAGATGGATTACCGTTCTTAATAGCATGGTGGATCTTTCCATGGCAAACTGTAGTCATAACATGTCATAACCAGATGGTAGCTATATTAAGTAGAGACATTTTTGGGATCACAACCCCTGCTACCATGATCTTCATCCCCCCGATGAATCAAGATGTGACCCTGCTACCGAGAGGACCCGTTGGATCTCCAGACCCGCAGCCTGGGTGTTCGCAACGCGCGGCCCCGGGTTCTCCAACGTATCCACGCGCACACTTCACAGCCACCTGACGAGTTATCCGAGAAGATAGGGCCTAAAAACTGCAGGGGTGCAGGTTGGACTATCCCTTCAAGTGATTTAGATCCAGTGGCCATTTTGGGGACTGATTTATTGCAGATACCTAGCATATATAAGATCTATGTATCTATGTAAGAGCTACGGGGTTATACATGATGTACCCCCAAAATATGGTTTTCCTGAAATGGCAATTGTTGTAACATCAATCTACTAACCAGATTGGTTGTAAAGTATGGACAAGAATCAAGCTAAGCCCTCTTTTCCATCAGCCGGGAAAAAAGGACATCTGTGGATACCCCCTTGACCCTACTGTAATCTGGTAGTGGGTCAAACATGATGTTCAAATCCAATCCCATAAATGGCATAAATGGGGCCCCATGGATGCAATTTAACTGTGTTTTCTCCATTTCTCTTTTCTCATCTATCATGTGGCTGGGGAACCTCTATTCGTAGCTCCAACTGGCTCCCCATAGAAAATGGACACCCCGAGCTAACCTCACAATCAGATACAATCCAGCACATCCTGCCCAAGCCGGCCTTGAAAGTATCAATGTGCAGATCGGTTTCGGTCACCAAAGTGCCCTCGGGCACTTCCGGCACAAGGCAATCTGCCAGGGTGACCTCACACGACGAATTTTCGGATGCGACCGAAGTTGGGGGAACTTCCAGTGATATTAGCAACATAATATGACATAATAAGATATTATATACAAATTATACAAACATGTGTTATCAATTGCTGTCTCCTTCATCGTTCAATATCGTTCATTGTGTTTCTTCAACGAGCAAAATTTAGTGCCCACTGTCCACCAACTGAATGACAATCAAGGCGCAGTTGTAGTTGAAGTGGTTGTTGTTGTAGTTGTTGTGGTGACTGTGGAGGTTGTAGTGGTTGATGTAGAGGTGGTGGTTGTAGTCGTACTTGTTGTGGTTGTGGTTGTGGTGGTTGATGTAATTGTGCTTGTCGTTGTCGTGGTGGTGCTCGTAGTGGTGGTCGTTGTGGTTGTTGTACTGGTCGTAGTGGTTGTGGTAGTGGTGGTGCTTGTGGTAGTGGTTGTTGAAGTTGATGTTGAGGTGCTTGTACTTGTGGTTGTGGTTGTTGTGGTGGTGGAAGTAGTCGTTGTAGTTGTGGTACTAGTGCTCGTAGTTGTGGTCGTTGTAGTTGTACTTGTCGAAGTCGTCGTGGTGGTCGTTGAGGTACTTGTGGTTGTGGTAGATGTAGTCGTGCTGGTGGTGGTCGTGGACGTGAATGTCGTTGTGCTTGTCGTGGTGATGGTCGTGGTACTTGTTGTGCTGGTGCTGGTCGTTGTGGTGGTTGTAGTGGTTGACGTGATGGTCGTGGTGCTGGTGCTGGTGATTGTTGTGGTAGTGGTAGTGCTGGTTGTGGTAGAGGTGGTGGTTGTAAAAGTGGTCGTGGTGGTAGAGGTAGTAGTCGTTGAAGTCACTGTAGAAGTAGACGTAGTGGTGGTCGTAGTTGTGGTCGATGTACTTGTTGTTGTGGTGGTGGTGCTGGTTGTGGTGGTGGTTGTGGTACTGGTGGTGGTAGATGTGGAGGTTGTCGTACTGGTTGTGGTGCTGGTGGTGGTGGTACTCGTGCTTGTGGTGGTTGTGCTGGTAGCAGTACTTGTGGTTGTTGTGGAAGTCAAAGTGGTTGTGGTAGTGCTTGTACTCGTTGTTGTTGATGTAGTTGTGGACGTGATCGTTGTGGTGGTAGTTGTGCTTGTCGTTGTGGTCGTCGTTGTTGTGCTGGTGGTAGTTGTGGTGGTACTTGTGCTTGTAGTCGTAGTGCTGGTGACCGTTGAGGTTGTGGTTGTGGAGGTAGTGGTGCTGGTGGTAGTTGTGCTCGTCAAAGTTGTGGTAGAAGTACTTGTCGTGGTTGTGGTGGTTATGGTTGTTGTGGTGGTGGTTGTAGTAGTGCTGGTTGTAGTGGTAGTGGACGTCGTGGTTGTGGTTGTGGTTGTGGAAGTTGTCGTTGTGGTGGTGGTGCTGGTGGTTGTGGTTGTGGAAGTAGTAGTTGTGCTGGTAAGTGTCGAGGTAGTGGTGGTAGTGCTTGTGGTAGTGCTTGTGGTTGTGATTGTTGTAGTTGTTGTCGTGGAAGTGGTGGTTGTCGTGGTTGAAGTGGTTGTCGTCGTTGTGGTGGTTGTTGTTATTGTAGTTGTGCTTGTAGTTGTGGAGGTGGTCGTGATAGTCGTTGTGGTGGTGGTAGAGGTCGTGGTCGTCGTGGATGTCGTTGTGGTAGTAGTGGAGGTTGTGGTGCTTGTCGTTGTAGTTGTGCTTGTAGTGGTAGTGGTTGTGGTGGTGCTTGTTGTGGTTGTGGTTGTTGTTGTAGTGAAAGTGGTGGTGGATGTTGTCGTTGTTGTACTAGTTGTGGTGGTGCTGGTGGTAGTCGACGTTGTTGTGGTCGTCGATGTCGTTGTGATGGTGGTGCTCGTGGTGGTACTGGTGGTAGTCGTTGTGGTCGTTGTGGTGGTGCTTGTCGTTGTTGTGGTTGTTGTCGTAGTCGAAGTCGTTGTAGTAGTACTTGTAGTCGTGGTTGTACCTGCACTGGATATCCATCTCCACCAGTTTCCCCATGGGGATTCTCCATGGGACTTGTCCCATCCTTGAAATCATCGAGTATCCATGGTCATGGTGTATATATGTTCATATTTTCTTCATACACATGTATGTATTTGAGATTGTCTTAATATCGTGTTATACAGTATCGTGTTATATCGTGTTATATCGTGTTATATCGTGTTTCATTCTTTTCCTATCAGACAGAGTATCCATTGAATTCGAACATCCATCAGAATGGACAGCATGGACCATGGGGCTTTTTCCAGTTTCCCACAATCACTGGATTGGTTTGTTGGGGAAAATCTAAACCGGAAACCCATGGGTTTTTACCATCAAATATAGGGCTTTCCGGCTAAAATTTTCCCATCATCCAATTCTATGACACAAGCCTGTGCAACCACTGATCTTGTAGGGCTCGCCATGTCCGTCGCAAATTTCCACTTTCGCCTCCATGTCTTGGATGGTAGGATGGTCATTGGCTTGATTTTGGCGACAACGGCGGATGCGATAACGGATAACGTCTTACAACGTCAGTACATGTTCTATGTGATGTTACATGATCATACATAATATATATATATATATGTGATTACATATGATTATCTATATAATACCAAACGTAAATATAATACCAAACATATGATTACATATGATTATCTATTATCTATATATCTATTTGCATATGATTATCTAATTATATGTATAGCCTCTGGTAACCAAACGTGGCAATGCAAAAAATCCAGCCGCATTAATACAGCTTCGCCATGCTTCGCCTTGCCGTCGAAGCCGTAGCGGCATCGCACGCTCACCGCAAAGGCGCGCCTTGCCACGGGGCTCACGTGGGGCGGTGGTGGATGGTGAACTAAGCTACTTATAGTGGATAATATATATATATGTATAGATATGTATATTATATACCTAGTAATTCTTATATATGGCTGTGTAGATATATAGATAGATATATATATATGTATAATTATACCAAGCCAGAAGGAAAAATGATCCTTATATGCTATGTAGATCATATTATGTATGCATGTATGTGTATATATATATATATATGGGTAATATTATGTATATTATATATATAATATTACCCATATATATATAATACAATATATATATATATAAGTATTCCAAAGTATTCCAACTGCAAACTATGATTCTAGGATGTTATGGAGATATAATACTATATTAACTTATGGGGTTACTACAGTTGTGAAAAACCCTCCCCTGTCATCAAACATGGTTTTCTGGAAAATTCCGCGTTGATTAACGATTTTCCCATTCAGAAACCTTCATCTAGTGGGATTTCCCATTGCTGTGTTTGATTGGAGGGTAACATGGATGAACACCCAAAATTGAAGCTATTTTTTGGGGGAAACGTCCGGACTTCGTGGGTTCATCTATTTTTAGACAAAGCTGTGCTGGAAGATGGAAGACATATTATTCATATGGGTATGGGTCAATACCTATAGATACATTTATAGTGGGATGAACATCCATTTACCAGCTATTTTGGGGTTCACTAGGTACCAGGGTTTTGACCCATCCCCCCATATTCATTTTTTTGAGCAACATTTGGATATGTTTGATTGGATTTTGGGTTGAACCTTCAAGTGCTGTGGAAATCTGATCACAGTCACCATGGACTGCAGTCACCATCCTCGGACGAAGGCTAAGGCTGAAGATTCCAGTGACTTTTTCAAGACTTTCCATAGAGATTTACTATTATATATATATATATATATGTATGTATGTATGTATGTATATGTATATGTAACTGTATATCATGTAAATATATGTAAATCCAACATCCTCTTCATATATTTTTTGAATCATAAATGTACTCAAGCAAGCCATGCACCATTGAGTCATCATATAGCCACAGCACGGCCACGAAAAATTCGGGCCTCTCCAAGTTCACGTTGGCCAAGGCATACTTGTAGATGTCCGGGTCATCGTTCGGCTTTTCGCACGTCTAAGTGGCCAGAGGGGTGAATGTTGGTCATGTACTCCACACGGTGTGTGATCCCCTGGTGATGGCAATGGATCTGTCAAAAATATAGATGACTGTCCCAGTAAAACATCACATCAGTTGACTATGATGTTATTACATGTTATTACTGATGTTTTTGGATGTTCAATACCCTCTGGTAAACAAACATAGCTATTGCAAATGGCCATTGATAGTGGATTTATCAATTAAAAATGGTGTTTTTCCATAGCTATGTTAGTTTACCGGAGGGTAACATCCCATTCATCGTCCATCTTTCCCGTTTTTTTCGCCACGTTTGATGGAGGCTACGCCACTAGGCCACACCTTCAGCCAGGATTCCTCTGGCAAACATCCCGTCAACTTGTAGGGCAAGCCATCGTCAGCACAGGGTTCCACCCTGCCAACTCGCCAGCCGGATCGCCAGCACCAATTGGGATGATCGTCCATCTGTACCCTCTGGTAAACAAACATAGCTATTGAAAATGGCCATTGATAGTTGTTTTTCCCATTAAAAATGGTGATTTCCAATAGCTATGTTAGTTTACCAGAGGGTACCCCAAATTGTCCTATATTGTGGCGATCTTCCTTGTGCTTGAAATGTCAAATTGCTATTTTGGGATGGCAAAGCGATCGATATCCGCTGGAAAAAATGTAATGATCGTCTTTGTTGTCAAAACATCTTTACATAGAGGTGAAATATCCGTCCATCTTTATTCTACCACAAGTTTTGCATGTCAAATGCTCAATGCAAACATTCTTGTTTGCAACCCTACAGGCCCTACATGTTTGAATCTTCATTCCTAATCTATGTTCATTCCTAGTCATTGAACAGTGGCGCTCCACCGATTCACGGTCTTTTTCTCAGGCATTCGATTTCCACAGGATCCCATGGATCTAGGCCAGAGATGGGCCCTTCTTTTTGGACCGCGATCTGCTCTTTGAACCAACGCTTCTCAAGGCCTTCTTGACGTATTCTTTGGTACCTGTCCAAAAACAGAGATCTGACTTGGTCGCCCTCTTTGGGCTGTGCCTTCAACTTCTTCAGCTGCCCGGTGAACTGTTTGAGGCCTTTCCTTGTCCAGACAAGGGGCGGGTCTTGGCCCATGTACGAGCCTCCCACATCGGTGCCATCTTTGACCTTAGTGTCTAACTTGAGTCAGCACTGAATTACACATGGCCTCCCTGGTTGAGTTCTGCAGAACGTTATACTCGCTGTAACACTCCTCGAGCCAGTCCAATTTCTCATCTCTGGTAAAGAATGGCGACGCCATGCAGCTTTTGTTGTTCCAGCCGCATGCGCGGCCGCAGCAGCGGCTGGAATCTCTGCAAGAGACTTGACAGAGTCGACAACTCTGTCGGCGCAACTCTCTTCAAAATGGCATGACGGCATGACATTCTTTTTGACATCATGTTGGTTCATCTTGTGGATGTTCTCCAAAGTCTCGTGGACAATCTCTTCACATTTGTCTTTGCACACGTAGTGCAAGATGTGATGATATTTCTTGGGACTTGGCAATGCTCCTGTAAGCAACGGGTCTAAAAACGAATCCCTTCATGTCCGTAGCACCTCTTGGCAGAGCTCTGGAGCCATCTCCAAATCCTTCTGGATGAACCTCTTGGTTTGTGTAGTTTGCTTTGTGTTGTGGTCTTGTAATCGGGCAGCTCGCCTTGGCTCATTTAGCTTGCAAATGAGCAAAGGCGAGCCCGACTGCCTCGGCGAGATTTCCTTTCCACGGCAGCATGCACCACCGTTGAATGCTCCTGTGATTTCTCCAAGGGTGTGATACATGGTGGGGTCGGCAACAGCAAGCCGAAAGGAATGGACCTTCTCCGCCCAAAAATCCTGGCACTTTCGGCCCTGAGTCTCTGCACGGCAAAAGGCTGCAGGCCCGGAGCTGTAGCAAGCCAATCAAGAAACATCAAGAAACCATAAAGCAAAAGCGAAGATTAAAGTCGCAAGATTTCTACACAACATTCTTCTGTCAACGTTCTGAACTTCTCAAGTCCCACGGATGTTCTTGAACAACTTGGGAGAGCTTAGGGACATGTGACAGCAGCGGAAATCAACGAGGGGTATGATTTTTCACAATGAAGCTTTTCATCCAGGCCAAAATTGTGGTTAGAAAATATGATGTTATCCAAAAGTTCAGTTTTATCCAGGCACACTTTCCATTTGGGTCTGGAATTATCCACCATTTGTGTTGGCCAAAACAAGGGGTTACACCCCACTTTCAGACCGACCCATGGATTAGGATAATCCCACTATATATCGGGTAGTAGAATCCCTGAACTAATCATCAACTAAGCATCAGTTATCAATCAAATGATATCATATGTACGTATTTATATATAGTTATATATCATATTAATATATTATTATATATATATATATATTATTGATATATTATAATTAATATATTCTTTTGTATCATGTTGTAATATTCTTGTTTTTGATGGTTCCATGTTTTTACACGACAATTTTTAGCCGTTTTGCAGCCACCAAAAACCCCCGACCGTGACTCGCCGTGACTCGCAAAATTCGCCTGGGATCGCCCTGGAAACCGCTACTGCAGCTGGCTTCGACGTTCAGCCGATTCTTGCGGAGCAGATGCTCTGTGACCTGGGAACCATTAAAAAACCAGGCGAACCAGATCCAGTGATTGAAAAAAACGATGGAAATCTGGGATTTCGCCAGCAACATAGGGGTAAAATAGGGTAAATCCCATAGGATTTACTGATGTAATGTATATATATATAGAGAGAGAGAGAAAGATTATTTAATGTGTATATATATATAGAGAGAGAGAGAGAATATATATATATATATTATATATATACACACCAGTCTTTTCAGATAGAATCTTGAGAGAATCACCAGTTTCAGTTTCGGAAAATCGAGTTGCTCCCAACTCATGGCAGGCTTGTCATGTTGGGGAACGGAATCTCATGCCCTCATAGCAAATACCCTCTGGTGAACTAACATAGCAATGGAAAATCACCATTTTTAATGGGAAAAACCACTATAAATGGCCATTTTCAATTGCTATGTTAGTTCACCAGAGGGTATCCAACCTTGTGGGCCTAATGAATCCAAGACTGATCCAAGACTAGGGGGGAAAGGATTAGCATCGCAACCCCCATTTTTTTTCGTGCAGAAAAAACATGAAATCCAACTCAAAGATAGCTTAGACCATCTACTGGCCTCTATGTGTGTACTGGCCAATAAAGAGGCTAATGGCAGGTGTAAAAGATAGCTGTAAACTGCACCTTGTCTTAATCTTCTTGGGGGTTGTACGGTACCAATGAGGATTATTCCACCGGCAGATGAGTTTGCACGATGGAAACGCGGGAGATTGAAGCCAAACATGTTGGGTCTGTTTGCAATATATATATATGTGTATGTGTATATATATATATGTATATATATGTATATATGGGTGATTCATCACTTTCCCTAATAGAATGATATAGAATGCCATTTTGGATCATGTTGGTATATTTTAAGGCAATATAAAGTTACCCATCCCGCTTTTTTTCAGATTAAACACTTCATTTTGGGGGACCCGGCTGACCCCATGGCTGGAAAAGCCCCAAAATCTCCCCATCTCTAGCTCCGAGGCACGGTGTAGTTCTCCACTTTGTAGGGGCTGGCACAAGTGTCCTCGCGATGTGGAGGCTGGTCTCCATGTAGAAACTCCAGGTTTTTAAGCAGACTCCAGGTGGTCATTTGATGTCATTTGTAGTGAAGCAGCTTAGCAAAATGGACAAGCCAGCCTCAAAGAGATCTTCCGAATCCTTCGGTAAATCGATGAAGACGGTCTTTTGGATGACACCTCCAAAATCCTCGTGCTGGGTGCTTGATGGAATCCCTATAGAAATGGCAATCTTGAAATGTGAGGTTCTCAAGAATTGGAGGCAACCTTCGCTTTCACATGTGCCAAGTAGCGCCATTCATTGGGATTGGAACCTTTGTCCAAGCTACACCCTCAGTTGTGCAGACATTGGATATCTTGGGCAGGATGAGATGATTGAATCTGATCCAAAACGATGGCAGTTCCAACTGGAAACCGAACTGGAAACCGAACTGGAAACCGAGTCATTCAGAACATGCAAAGAGCCAAGGAACACCCTGCGAGGCAATAACTGCAGTCATGCTCCACTGCGTCACTTGCCTGGCTTTTCCATGCTGAAATACCATCCGAACAGAGGAAATTTAACCACCGATTTTCCCCTGAAGTCTTGAAGTTGGAATTTTGTTGAAACAGTGTCAGTGTCAGTGTTTCGTGGTGTTCATCAACAAATGGGTTTGTCTGAGAATAGGGTACCCCAAAATTTATGATAAACGGTTTATCATCATTTCATCATCATTTTCCCAAACATGTCCATGTCTGAGTATGCAAATCATGTTCATACGGTCAAGCTATTAATCGGAAACAAAAACCCGTGAATCGGAAACCAAAGCCCGTTAATCGGAAACTAAAACCTGTTAATCGGAAGCCAAAAGAATCGGAAATTAAAACCCGTGAATCAAAAACTAAGAACCTTGAATCGTAAACCAAAACCCCGGAATCGGCAACCACAGATGAATCGTAAACTAAAGCAGGTGAATCAGAAACTAAAGCAGGTGAATCGGAAACTAAAACCGGAGAATCGGCAACTAAACCAGCTGAATCAATCAGAATGGGCCGTTTGTCTCCTTCAATCGAAAAGAGAAGTTGGAGGTAATATCCTGTTCAAAATAATGGCCAGAGAGGGAGGAGGAAGTGATTTCTTAAGAAGATGGTCAGAGGGAGTGCCGGATTTGATCCCTTATGAGGATACTTTGAAGGTAATATCTCATTCAACATAGTGATCAGAGGGGGTGGCGGATTTGGTCCGGTATGGGGATATGTTGAAGGCAATATTCGACATAATGGCCAGAGGGGGTGGCGGATTTGATCGCTTATGAGGATAAATTGACGGTAATATATCATTCAAAATAATGGCCAGAGGGGGTGGCAGATTTTATCCCTCACAAGGAAAAAACAAATAAATGCAACATCCTTTTCAACATTGTGTTCAGAGGGGGTGGCGGGTTTGATCCCTTATTATGGGGATAAGTTGGCGGTAATATCTCATTCAACAAAATGTTCAGAGGGGTTGGAAGATTTGGTTTAAATCGTTTTTTTGGGTTTCTGATTCGTGGGCTTGTTTGGTTTCTGATTCGCGGATCTTGGTGTCTGATTCGCAATTTTTAGTTTCTGATTCTCAGTTTCTGATTCGCGGGGTTTTGTATCTGATTCCTGTGTTTTAGATTCTGATTCGCGCGCTTTTTGGTTTCTGATTCGTGGGATTTTGGTTTCTGATTCGCGGATTCTAGTTTCTGATTCGCGGGTTTTAGTTTCTGATTCTTTGTTGCTGATTCGCGGGAAGTTTCTGATTCGAGGTTTGTTCATGTTCATACACAAACACATCCAAAAACGATGCACAGAAATCCCGACGTCTCCTGGGGACACCTCCCGGACATGGCCTGCCCTTGTGCACATCGTCGTTCTTCCCGGTGGCTTCCACCGCAGTGGAAATCTGGGCCCGGTAGTGCTGTTCGTGGTTCACCTTCTTCAACGGGACTTCCACCTCAGATGGGCTGGAGATGGCTGTGTCTGACACCAGTCCGATGTCATGGGATGATCAGCTGGATCTTCAAAAATAGCTTAAATAGATTTAAATAGCACTTTTTGCTGGCATTTTGCGATTGGATTTATGCTTATTCTGAAATTTGATGTTCACTTGAACTAAAGCGCGCATCTGTGTCCTGACGGACGGGCAGTTATGCATGCTTGTTTCCCGAGTAGTTACGTTCATTTCCCGGGAAAATATGCTTAGAATTTTTGGCTTCAAAACGCACAAGGCCAAGAATGATGCAAATTTCGCTCATTTGGAGAAAAACCGCCCAAAAAGCATACTTCTCAAATGGCCATTTATGAGTGCTTTTTCGAGGATGCATTTGGGGGTCCCCTATTTTCATGTACAAACCCAGATGTTGTTGGAGATGTTTTGCACTTTTGTTTTGGGGTTGACTTTCTCACTTGCTTTTGAAATGTTCTTTGAGGATTGCTGCAGTGGAAAGCCACCCCCACTGCAGGCTCGAACGTGCCAAAGGCGCAGTCGGCAGTCGCCAGGTTTGAGGAATGATTACAGAAATGAAGCAACGATCTACACAGAAAGTAGGAACATCCAACTGCTTTTTCAGTTTCAATGTGGCCTCTTCTGGCATTATTTTGGAATTATTTTGGATATCAAAAAATAATTCCAACAGATGACAACAGGTACCTGTAATTTGGCATGAACCATCTCCAGCTTGCCATCCTTTGGTGAGATCGACTCCCAGACCCCACGGTTACCCCAGTGGGATGCCCAATGCCCAGCGGCGATGATGTCGCTTTCATCCACCGCGCTGGATTTCACTCTCCAGCCTGATGCAGACCCCACGTGCCGGGTTACGCCAGGGGTCCCCAAAATGCCAAGTCCAAAAAAGTGGATGGTTGCGAAGTCCCGCACCAGTTGATAACTATGAAGGTAACCTGGGGTATTTTTTTAAAACACTGGGACTATAATGAGATAACAGGATATGAGTTATATAAGTTTACCATCTACCAACGGGTGGAAGACTTCGCAACCATCCACAGTAGGATCGTTGCAAGTCAGAAGGCTTACAGTAAAATACCAACCATGAAATAAACACCAACCGTTCCTGGCAGGAAGGAAGGCACTCCAAACATGGATGAATTGTGTATGTACCTATAGAAGTGTCCAAACAACTGGAACTTCCAAACTAACATCCAACTGAAATCTCTTCAATCCATAATAACCTCCCCAAACCTCAAGAAAAAAAAACTTGGGTTTGGGGAACTTACCCAATGTTCACCACATCTTCATCAATGTTCATGTCACCCCCGTTTTAACATCATCATTTTTGGGCTTTCCGGCTGAACTTCTTTCCGGCTTTGGCTTCGGAACACACATCCTTCGGGGCCGACTCCTGGCCAGGGGATGGCTGAAACATGTTGAAAGCACCGGTTTCAACCATCCTTTTTGAATGGGATGGTAAATTAAATAATCCTATAAATCCTATATAAATCATGGGATAAGTTTAACGACCTATCTATCAAACATGCAGGATTTCGCTGGCCCATCCTGGAATCATGATGGGTTTGTCTGAAAATAGGGCATGCTCCCAATTGTCAATGGATTGGTAGAGAAAATTGAAACCGGAAAGCACCATACCAGCTGAACGGGAAAAAAGACACATGGTTTCCGCTGAAGTTGTTCCACTTCACTAAACCAATCCGAATTGACAATTGTTGTGGCTTCTGAAAGGGTATGATGATAAACTATGGGATTTGGGGGTTCACAGCCTCCAAGTTTACGACCCAACATGGTTTAATGTTTCCAGCAATTCGTAGCCCTTCGTTTGCTGATTGCATGTCGCCCATTCTTCTAGCTTATCCTCTCTAAAAAGAACAAACACAAACTGAATGATGATGGCTATTCCAATGTGTCAATGAGCTTCAACATGCATCATTTCTAATGTGTATTATAATTCTAACTAGAACAACCTAGTTAGAATTATACTAGATTATATAATACACAAAAACTAATTAATATGTGTTCTAACCAATAATTTTACAATATATGTTTGGTCTAACTTATAGATTGACACAATTTTTGATCCATCTCCAAGATCTCCAGGCCTCGGCGGGGTGACTTGGTGAACTACAGACCGTGTCGTCCTGCGCGGTGTTTTCAACTGGAACAGTCGACGGGATGGGAAGAGTCGATGACCATAGATTTACCATAGATTTACCATATAGATTTACCAGTGGCTAACATGGGAGAAATAGATTTACCAGCTTATGTCCAAAGATTTTCGCATCATTTATGGTGAGGTTCTGAATGTGGCAAATCTCCGAAGCTGAAAAACTTTAGGGTCTGGATGAACAAACTTGTCGACCGATTTTGCCACACTTCGGTTTGTCTGAAAATGGGCTGCCTCAAGATCCTATAGTAAATCTATGTAAATCTCATGATTTTCCCTATGAAAAAGCCATGTTTGGGTTATACCCCATTTATACCCATTTATACCCATTTATACCCATTTATACCCATTTATACCCCATTTCCAGACACACCCACTTGATAGACACACATTGCTTCCCCAAGAGATCGACAAAGCTGTCACCGCATGTCACGGCCCGGCCCGTCGGCCCGTCGGCCCGTCCGAGCACGTGAGGCATGTGCCGTTGGACGTCAGGATCTGCAAGTGCCCAAGCTCAACATACCTCAGCTCGACCAAAACCATCTTTCTGGGTAAGTTATAATATTTCACTAATCTGAATTAAGGCCATTTGGGGATAATTCCCCTTATTAACCATGATTTCCAGTGAGGGAGAACAGTGAGGTCGTTATAATTTACCCAGATCTTTGGAAATTCATGGTAGTTGCCTGGTTGGAGACGGTAAGTGGTTCCATGATCACAAATCAGCGGTATGTCGGACGTTGATCTTTTAAACCGTCTGGCCGTTTTCGCGTTCACCAGCTCCTCAGTGTTCAGCGTTCTACAGTTGCTATGACTGGTGACAATTTGGGAAGAACCGAAGCTAGGGCTACTAATACAGACCTAAAAACCATTTGAGTCAATTGCTTTCATCATCTCAAATAGGATATGATATGACGGATATAATCACAAAGAAAGGAACTACCAATCCCGTTTTCAAGGCAAAAGTTGCCTTAAAAACGTCATATTTCACAGGAAACAACTTAGATGTATAGATGTCCCCGACATTTTTCTTGATTTCCCATAGATTTCCGTCCCATTGTCCCAATAAATATGTTTCGGAGATTTGTTCGGATCCGTCCGTCGATGCGGCCAGGTGCTGCGTTTTGGGATCCACAAAATGGACGGCCTTCAGCTTGAAAGTGAGGTGCGCGGGGCGACCTTCCGTGCGCTCAACGCAGAAAATCGTGGCAAAAATCTGCTGTGGAGAACCACTGGGTGAAACCAGTGGCACTAATAATGGTTAACAGTGGTTAATAGTTGTTTTTTTAATTATTATAATGACAATAATATGGTTAATAGTGGTTAATAATCCAACTAAATATACTAACACCAACTATAGTACTTACTTTTGTTCACACGAACTAAGTACTTACTGACGATACTACTATGGTAAAATACTAATCCATACTGAATTGATTTATCACATAAACTATAGCAGTATAGCATTTTCACCTGTTTGGTGTGGTTTATACAACCAACTATGTTGTTGCTTTCAGCATACTATATGTATGTAAATGTATATAAGACACATATCTGGAGAAATTACAATGACCTCACGTCACGACATCACTGTAGATGATGGTGGTTTAAAGGGGAATAATCTCCATACCACCAAACTTTTCTGGTTGGTGAATCATTTTGAATTATTCTAGTCTATCCATATATGTATAGTTTAGCCAGATAGCTTATCCACAGCTGCAATGTACAATGGTGTTGCACCGGTATCCATGGCCTTATCCTTGTCAGCACCAATTTCCACCAAATGACGGACAACATCAAGATGGCCGTTCTGAGCTGCAATGAACAATGGTGTTGCACCGTCATCCCTGGCCTTATCTTTGTCAGCACCAACTTCCACCAAATGACGGACAACATCAAGATGGCCGTTCTGAGCTGCAATGAACAATGGTGTTGCACCTTGATTCTGTGCTTGATCTTTGTCAGCACCAACTTCCACCAAATGACGGACAACATCAAGATGGCCATTATGAGCTGCAATGAACAATGGTGTTGCACCGGTATCCCTGGCCTTACCTTTGTCAGCACCAACTTCCACCAAATGACGGACAACATCAAGATGGCCGTTCTGAGCTGCAACGAACAATGGTGTCGCACCTTGATTCTGTGCTTGATCTTTGTCAGCACCAACTTCCACCAAATGACGGACAATATCAAGATGGTCATTATGAGCTGCAATGTACAATGGTGTTGCACTGGTATCCCTGGCCTTATCTTTGTCAGCACCAACTTCCACCAAATGACGGACAACATCAAGATGGCCGTTCTGAGCTGCAATGTACAATGGTGTTGCACCTTGACTCTGTGCTTGATCTTTGTCAGCACCAACTTCCACCAAATGACGGATAACATCAAGATGGCCCTTATGAGCTGCAATGAACAATGGTGTTGCACCGGTATCCCTGGCCTTATCCTTGTCAGCACCAACTTCCACCAAATGACGGACAACATCAAGATGGCCGTTCTGAGCTGCCATGAACAATGGTGTTGCACTGGTATCCCTGGCCTTATCTTTGTCAGCACCAACTTCCACCAAATGACGGACAACATCAAGATGGCCGTTCTCAGCTGCAGTGTACAATGGTATTGCACCGGTATCCATGGCCTTATCCTTGTCAGCACCAACTTCCACCAAATGACGGATAACATCAAGATGGCCATTATGAGCTGCAATGAACAATGGTGTTGCACCGTCATCCCTGGCCTTATCCTTGTCAGCACCAACTTCCACCAAATGACGGATAACATCAAGATGGCCCTTATGAGCTGCAATGAACAATGGTGTTGCACCGGTATCCCTGGCCTTATCTTTGTCAGCACCAACTTCCACCAAATGACGGACAACATCAAGATGGCCGTTCTCAGCCGCAATGTACAATGGTGTTGCACCTTGATTCTGTGCTTGATCTTTGTCAGCACCAACTTCCACCAAATGACGGACAACATCAAGATGGCCATTATGAGCTGCAATGAACAATGGTGTTGCACCGGTATCCCTGGCCTTATCTTTGTCAGCACCAACTTGCACCAAATGACGGACAACATCAAGATGGTCGTTCTGAGCTGCAATGTACAATGGTGTTGCACCTTGACTCTGTGCTTGATCTTTGTCAGCACCTACTTCCACCAAATGACGGACAACATCAAGATGGCCGTTCTCAGCTGCAATGTACAATGGTGTTGCACCGGTATCCCTGGCCTTGTCTTTGTCAGCACCAACTTCCACCAAATGACGGATAACATCAAGATGGCCGTTCTGAGCTGCCATGAACAATGGTGTCATCCTGTGATTTCCTGTTGGGTCTTTTTCAGCAGCTGCCTCAAGCAAAAGCAGCATGCTTTCAACATGTCCTTCACTGGCAGCATAGTGCAATGGTGTGTTGCCATGTTCGTCTGTGACATTGGGATTGGAAGGGCTATTCAGGAACTTTTCCAGGGCGATCAAATCATTTTCCATAGATGCAGAGATCACTTGTTGGCTTCGTTGAGCATCAGCTGGATAAAAATCCAATACCACCATCTGAAGCTTCACTGGAGCGGAGCTAAAAACCTCATCATCCGGGATCTCAGAACCATCTTCGGAGAAGAGTCGTTGTTTGAATCTGATGACACCAATCTGAACTGCCAAGGCTTGTTTCACAGCCTTTGCAGTCTTTCCTTCGAATTCATCCGGGGCAAGGGCTGCACGAGTCGCACCTGACAGAAAACACACCTCCATTGCGGCAGTGGCGGACATGCAAACAACCTGTAGCTAGACATGTTCAAATGTGTAAAGATATCTCAAGAAAAAATTGACGAAGCAATGTACAATGTATATAGATTTATGTTTGTGGAATGTATTGCCATCAACGCACGTACCGTCGACAAGAAACATCAATGGCGTGGGCATTGTCCTTTCCCTGCAGCCAACATCAAATAGACATGACTCACGATTGTCTACGCAAATAGCCTGCACCAAAAAAAGGTGATCATGAACATGTGCAAAGTTGTGCTACCAAATTTGCCAAGCATCATCCCACCCCATGTTAGCTACCAAATCTACTTTCTTACTCCCACCCTCAACTCCCCTCTCACTGAATTGGTTGTTACACACACGGCAAGCTGTTACTACCTTCAAATGGATGATTTAGTGGTACTTGTACCCCCATTTTAGGAAACCTCCATATTGACTGTGATAATATAATGTAATATACACATGCACAATATCCAAGAAAATCAAGAAAAACAATATCGAATATATCGCATGTTAATAAAATCAGAAGCCAGCAACCAGCCATTATCCCTCTGATACCCCCATAGGGTGTTTGGTTCTGCCCGCCTGTCTCTCCGCCAAAGCCTTGCGTTGTCCTGGGCGACGTGTTTCGACATGATTGTTTGGTTGACAGCCATGATAAACTTCTGCAAGTGAAATCCCAATTTTACTTAAGGCCCTTTTTATTCCTTTTTCAATTGTTCATAGTGAAAATCCTGCTTTTCAATGGTGAAATGCAAAGTGTTCATGCTACTTGTCACAGCGAAATCGCAATATTTCGCACAGTCAAATCATAGAATTCCCCCAAAACATCCCCAAGATCCCCAAAAAATCCCCAAAAATCCCCAAAAAAATCCCCAAGATCCCCAAAAACCATCGCAACTTTTCATGGTGGATGGGGGCTTGGCAGTGTCATGACTTCGCCATTTTTCCATCCCAGACACTGAAGGCCAAGCTTACGGCCGGACGCGCCAAGCAGCAACGCCAGCCATGCTACCTCAAAAAAAACACGGCGAAACGGATTCTGATTGGACAGTTTTTTGAATATGTTTTGGTCATATGATGCCAGAATGTCAGGTCATAAAATCGAATATTCATCATATATCATCATATTCAATATTATTCAATAATCAATGATCAAATCATGTCTATGATTGAAGATGATTAATATTATTCAATAATCAATGATCAAATCATGTCGACATAGTATAGTTGACTGTTGGATAGTTGAGAAGTATTGCAGCTACAGTAATCGTAAAAAAATGACCGATCATATAATAATAAATTCTAGAAAATTGGATTCACCATGGGAGTAAACTGTGGTAAACCAAATTGCAAGCATTCTATTCTGTGTTTGGGCCAAAATGTTTGATATGGGATGTTTTTCATAATGGCCTGTTATTGTTGTAACACTCAAATGATCACAAGTGCGATAGTAGTCAAAGTAATAGTGTATAAAGATATATAAAGATTATAGCAATAAATAGTACCAGCAGCTCACCAATAAACATCTTTTTGGAAATGGCTATAGCCTCCATCTCTAAGTCCTTCGTGTTTCAAGGGCGCCATGGCAAACAGGATGGATCGGGATGGTTTCACCGGCCAAAATCGGATTTCACCACGAGTCATGGGGATCTGATCACTCAAAAAAGGCTCAAAATCATGGCAGCCAGCATCCATTAAGGCATGGTCTCCCAAAAAAAGGCGTTCTGCTAGCTTCACCGAAGCTCGGCCAGGTGAATCGGGATAGATTGTGACATACCCATGACGGCCCATGACGGATCCTAACGGTGCTGCTATATATGGTGCTCCATGGATCCCATATACCCCAGTCATGTTAGCATTTTTCTACCAGCACCATGGATCCGTCATGGGATACATCAACTAGTTTCTGCTACTTTCCATTTCCAGGGTATCGATCTTTCTTCACAGCACTTGATGATGGATGCCGAGTCGCATTCCATATCATCATAGTGATGGCGGGGTGGCGATTGCCACCCCTCTTGAGCCAGCAAAAGCGTCATGTGCAACACTACTTGGGAGCTATTTGTCATGTGCAAATGATAGCAAGACACACCCACTCTGGTCAGAAAGGTGAACAACAACTTGAAGTAGCTCTGCACTATACAGTTTCTGTATGTTTCTGTCACTTTCTCATTGCGCGAAACCTGCTGGGAATATCTTGGGGATCGAGTCAATCCAGCCACCCAAAATTGGGATAGCCGGATAGTGGATAGTGACGAAACACTGTCAGCATCATCGGCAGCACTGTCAGCTATTGGCACTGAGATCAAAAAAAAAATCGAATGATTGGAAGATTGTTCCCGGATTTTGATGAAATCCTCAAGTGTTTGGAATGCTCAAAATGGCTGGGGGCAAGATGGTAAAAACTTTGGGCTGTGACGATCAACTCATTGAGCCTCAAGGGCATCCCAAAAACACCGAGAGGAGAGCAGCCGGCCACAGCAGTGGCATGCTTCGTCTGATAAGATTAAACGCCATACACATGGGGTGGTTTTAGAATGTTTTATAATCCCTCATGTTCAGACAGAGCCGCATATACCCTCTGGTAAACATACAAATAACTATGGAAAGATCCACCACTTTTAATGGGTAAATCCACTATTTCTATGGTCATTTTCAATAGCTTATTGTATGTTTACCAGGCCGGGTATCTGTTGTTTATATTCCATGGAATATTCCATAAGAATATCTCATGACATCCAACAAGACGCCCCGCATTTTTCCAACACATCATGTGTCATTGGTCGCCTGCACAACGGCAAGAAAGCATCAAGTTGGTCATGGTTTTTGATGAAAATGCATTAAACATCATTAAACCATCCATAATTTTGTGGTTCCATTGCCATCTACAGAGTCAAGAAAAGCATGAGGAGTCGGTGGTTGAAGCAATTTCCTGAGTTTGTCATCTTAATTTCACCATGGTCTGAGATGGGTCAATCATGTCAATCCAATTCGATGGTCACAAAAAAGTGGATAGGAAGACCCTCTGGTGAACATATCTTAAATACTATGGAAAGATCCACCATGCTCATGGGAAAATTTTCACTTTTTCGACTGGGCCATGGCTTCTATGTCGCAAACTGTTACTGTTCGTTTACCAGGCCCAGTAAATCCCCAGGAAATCATATCCATGGATTTTTTTCGGTGGCAAAAGATGTTTTTTACCATACCTCTTTAAGATACACGTGTGCATTGAAAATATTGAAACTATGTGCCACGGTTGGAAAGAACTCGCCGGTACTTGCAATCATCCTTCCAAAGAATCGGTAGTTGTGACTAGCTGTTTGACGCATGACTGGGCAACCAAATGCTCAATCATGTACCATTATATATACCAAGAAACCAAGTTTGCAGCTCGTGACACATTCTTGCACATTTTTCATATACATGGTATATATGGTTTATGGTCATCCTATCATTGGAATCCTTAAACAAATGGTATCCAAGTCCCTGACTTGGAAAACCATCCACGGACCGGGTTAATCCAATTCAACTTGACCATGGCACACAATATGGTTGTACAGCCCTTTGATGCATTGGCGGACCAATGCCTCTCTTGCGAACCGTTGTTCTTGTCCATTTGGATGATGCAATGCCCAATTATTGGTGTGTCTTTAGATGTTTGAACTGGTGAAAAATCCTTCGTGTCAAAATGGCGAAACCATAATATACATATATATGTATATATTTCAATAAAATTTAGTTGCATAAACTTTGCTATACTATTGCACATGTTGTACTAATGATTATTGTCAATGTTGTACAAAGATTGGTACATAAGCTATAATTACTAATGATACTATTGTAAATGTTATAATTACCTGGTTGGCGGTTTCAACCCCTCTGAAAAATGATGGACTTCGTCAGTTGGGATGAAATGACATTCCCAATAGATGGAAAGTCAATCCAAATTCCATGGTTCCAGTCACCACCAACCAGATATATTGATCATTGATGATCATTATTAACCACTATCAACCACTATTAACCCCTCAATATATATATATATACTAATGATTCGATGCATTGGGGACCTGAAAATTGGACCATTGCCGTAGCGGCCACCACGCCACTGGCCGCCTCATCCGCTGGCGCTGCCGCTGGCGCCTCGGTCTTCCGGGGATCTTTGACCTCCAGCAGCTGTTGCGAAAAAAGTAGAGGGAAACACAACGGAAACCAACACTTGAAAACTACTTAATAGCTATTGAAAATGGCCATTTATAGTTGATTTTCCCATTAAAAATGGTGATTTTCCATAGTTATGTTAGTTTACCAGAGGGTAAGTAAGGGTGGCAAGACAAAGAGTTGGGAGCTTGACTGATGTAAGCCAATGAAGGAAAAACGCTGCGTTTTTTCAACAGCAAGAATTGGATTAGGTTCGGAAAAAAAGAGCCGGAATGACTGATTGCGTCATCTGCGAGTCTGCAAGAACTGGAAATCAATATGGCTATGGATCAATGCCTATAAGTACCATTTTTAGTGGGATGAACATCCATTTACCAGCTATTTTGATGTGAACAGAAGGGGTACAATTGGTTTTGACACACTGCCATGGTGTTGTGGAAATAGCGCCCAAATAAAAATTGACAGTCAACTTACATGATCATACCCAATTGGATGTGTCCATCCAAATGGGTGTACAGTGAAATCCGCTGTTTTTTTACCCCTAAATCATTCTAATTTTAATAGATTTTAATAGCATGTTCCATTGTAAACCATCCATATACCATCCATATATTGTGGATCCTCCATTTATGGCCACCCCAAATAACATAATTACCGGACCCACCACCGCCTCCCGCCTGAGACATGCGTTCCAGCAACAGAATCATTTCGCAGTGCAAGGTGTGAGGGAACATGTCCTGCCATGGCCACCATTGTCCGGGATAGATTGTACCCAGGCAACTTCAAGATTGTGCCAAGTTCTAATGAGAAAACTGCCCATCACAAAGGACTTCCCTAGAAAAAATGGTGATGTTCCATACAGTAGTATCCGAAACTACAAGAGGTTTCCACAGCAAACCAAAAGTGTGAGTGTTGTGAATGAATGGTCCTCTTTTCCAGCTACACCCGCCTAAACTGAAACCATCCTTTCCTCAAAACTAGTCAGTGAATCCCTACTTCCCACTTCCCACCAATCCAATTGTTACCATCTCAAACTTGCGGGCACAAAAAATAATTGCTTTTCCTTCTCACCAAAGAACGGATTGTTGAAAGAAAAAGAAAGAAATTATGATTGGTTGCACCAAAGAAACCATCACTAAAGAAACAATTGTCATTGATTTTTAGCGCTTGCACTAAAGAAACCATCACTGCGTTGAAAAGAAGCTGACAACTTTGGCCTCGGATGATGCCCTAAAAAACCCATTGTTTAGCGCTTCCCCGGTTCAATGCGTAACACCAGGAATCCTCTACCAGAATTTGATCAACAACCATTGCTTCTCATTGCTCATATCATATTTTGGATAGTTCTTGATTAAAACACATCAAAACCTAGCTTTGTATCACACCTGGTTGGTGGTATACCTACCCCTCTGAAAAATATGAGTCAGATTGGATCATCATCCCAACTATTGGGGAAAATACAATTCATGTTCCAAACCACCGACCAGACACATATTTTTCTCATATCTACTTCCAACATTCGAACTTTACTCATTTCTGCAAGACGTTCCCCAACATTCCCTCCGCGCAGCTGGGTGCTGACCACTGCCACAGCTCGCACCGGGACGAAGGGGTCCTGGCAGAATCTGGCAGATACTTCGTCCATCCTGGGGGTCTTGATATATCTCGAATATCTTGAAATGTGTTGGAAATCCTAAGCTATATGTTAACAATTGTTGTCAGCTCTCATTTTGAGATGTGTTGTTCGGATTTTTCTAAGATTCGAAGGGAGGTTTGTTGAAAAAAAATGGAAAAAAAAATGCACTATTCATAGTTGTGTATCCCAGGTGTATCCCAACTATTTCATAGGTATATCAAGATCTTCGAGATATTTGATGATTTCCAACTATCCCAACTATGTCACAGGTGTATCCCAACTATCTGGGTAAATTATTATATTTCACTAACCTGAATCTTGCGGCCATTTGGGGATCATTTCCCCTACTAACTATGATTAAAGTGAGGGAGAACAGTGAGGTCGTTATAATTTACCCAGAACTATTTCATAGGTGTATCCCAACTAAGAAACCCTTGGAAACCTTGGAATCCCCTGGAGCTCCAGCTCCCATCGCCAGCGCCGCACCGCACCTCGTCGTTCTCCGAAGGCATGGTGAGCTTCACGACGTCCTGGACTCGGCGCGGCGCGGGCCCGGCACGCCATGGCGAAGGATTTTCATGGGATTTCCATGGATAATGATGGTTAATGATGGTTAATGATGGTTAAGAGTGGTTAATAGTGGTTAATGATGGTTTATCTTTGTTCATTAAACTGAGACTGTGAACGTGATCTATAAGAAACGAGGTGCAATGATTTCGCGAGTTCATCCAGAACATACAGTCATTGAACATCCCATCTCTCTCGGTGAATCCTGACCTTGACTCGCACTAAGAACACACAATACTCAATGGTTAATATACCATGAAAATCTGTTGATAATGAATTTCCATGGTTGATAATGGTTCATAATAATATCTGTTTGGTGGTTTTAACCATCTTGAAAAATATGAAAGTCAATGGGAAGGATTACATCCCATATATGAAATGGAAAAATAAAAAATGTTCCAAACCACCAACCAAACATGTGTCAAAGATCGTTTTCACCACTGAACATATCAAACATATAGCAAAACCATGCAAAAACCTATGGTTATTCGTATGTAATTTGAGATTATACCATAGATACACTCCTGAAAACACATGTGCTATACAATCCATTGGTACCAAACCATACCATTTTTCAATGGCAATTTGTGCTCTGGAAATTGAATTATTAAAACCGAACCCCGGTCATGCGACAACCCCCAAAT